ATGGGAAAGGGAAGAGATTCCAGCTATATGGTCATCATCATCGTACAGCGAAAAACAGAGAAGCGAATTCCGCTGATCGCTGCCAAACTCGCAATGCGTACAAGGTAAAATTTAAGGTGGACAGGGATTGGATCTATTTTGAGGGAGGGAGAAGAATACGAGCCACTGTGGTAATCACACAAAGTACACAATCGAACTCTGCATACATACCGTCTCAGGCATTCTGACCTGTTAAGAAATGACAACAAGAACGCCACTGCGGCCGGTTCGCTGCCATGTCCTTCAATGTCTCAACCAACAAGTTGTGGAGTCTTTCGGAACCCAACTTGGAGGGCGAGAGACACCTACTCTACCTAAAAGCTCTGTGCATTTCTTCATGCCTCGTCTCCACGCCATCTGTTGACCTCCAACCCGGATTAGCCACAGCTGAATGGTGTGAATTGGTGATCATACCGATTTACAAGAAAGGTGATAGATACTCTTGTGAGACCATAGAGGAATTAGTTTAATCAACATTGTCTCTAAACTTCTCGCTGGCATCATACTCCGCCGATTGTCTGCCGCACGTGAACGCTGCACACGTTAGACCCAGGCTGGTTTTAGACCTGGTCGAGGTTGTATCGACCACATCTTCAGTCTTCGCCAGATTCTGGAGCATCGACATTCTTTTCGAGACTCATCATCTCTGTGTTCCTAGATCTGAAAGCAGCTTTCGACTCAGTCGACCGCTCTAAACTCTGGCGCTACCTTTGCCTGAAAGGTGTGCCCGAGAAGTTAATTTCAATATTACAATCGCTGTATACTAATAGCCGAAGTCGAGTCCAGGCTTACGGCACTTCACCCGAGTTCACAACGGAAAGTGGTGTTCGTCAGGGTTGCCCTCTTTCTCCTTTTCTATTCAACTTTGTTATAGATTTGATTATGGAAACAGCCCTATCCTCGTGCGAGGACAGGTGGCAGACTGTCTGATCTAGAGTACGCAGACGAAATCGTGCTACTAAGTGAAGGTTCAGGTAATGTTCAAGCCTCTTTGAATAGCTTGAGTGATAGTGTATCTATGTTCCGTTAAGTGTAAAATGTTGGAACAAGATTGGATTAGTTTAGCCCACAACCTCACTCTGGATTAGTAGAGCAAGTAGACAAATTTTGCTATCTGGGCAGTTATATCTCACCTGGCGGACGCATCACAAATGAAGTGTCGGCGCGCATACAGAAGGCTCAATTGGCATTTGCCAACTTGAGACATCTGTGGCGCCGTCGCGACATCCGGCTGTCTGTGAAGAGTCGAGTATACGCTGCAGCAGTTCGTCCAGTTCTGCTTCACGGTGCAGAGACTTGACTATTACGGGAACAGAATAAAAATAGATTGTCGGTGTTCGAACACCGTTGTCTACGTCGCATTGCATGAGTCTAGTAGGGCAGCCGGACGAGCAATGTTGAGGTCCGATGTAGTCTAAGGTAATCGTGGTCTTCCACTAGAGTAAGTAGTTGACCTCTATAGAATACGTTAGTTAAGGTGTGTTAAGCATTTCACCAGATAGGTCGCCAGGGCGAGCAGTGTTTTCCGAGGCAGGTAGCGGTTGGAGAAACATCAAAGGCGGTTAAACTAAGACCTGACATGACGGTATGAAAACCCTAGCTCACATAGGTCCTGTTAGTTAGATACACTGTGCGACTTGGCTGGGTGTCACAAACGATGGCGCTGGTGCATCTACCGAATATTTTTGCGGTAAGAGTCTATACTAATTCTTTATTTTTCTCTTGAATTCGCTCTCTACATTCCATTCTTCATTCTGCTCTTTAATCCAAATGTGCGGCTAAAAGACAGCAAGTAAAATCGGCGCATGAAAGTGCACGGTTAATGGTTGTATAAAATTAAAGCTGAATTGAAAACATCAAGTTGGCAAATGCTAATTGAGTCTTCTTATGCGAGCAGACACTTCATCCGTGATGCGTCCACCGGGTGATATGTAGCTTCCCAAGTAACAAAACGTATCCACTTGCTCTATAACTTCCACAGTTAGGGTGCGGTTGGGTGCTGGACGAACCCAGTCTTGTAGTAACATTTTACACTTGAAGGTTTAAAACGCATACCGAACCTGGCTACACTAGCACTCAAACTATCCAGAAAAAGCTTGTAGCCTACCTCGATCCTCACTTAGTAGCACAATGTCGTCTGCATACTCTAGATCAGGCAGTCTGCCTCCTGGGAGTANAAATCGATGCCACTGTTCTCGCACGAAGATAGAGCTGATTCCATAGCCTAGGCTATTTCGGAAAGGTGTTTTCTTCAGTCGTGATATGCATTTGGACTACCATCTGTGTCAGTTTTCGCTTGTGCTAAGATGGTCTTATTTAAGTTACCGTCTCATGTCCCGGGGCCTAAGTTGCCAGTTTGCATAAACTTTAACCAGTTCCTCTTGATCACTCTCGTTGTACTGAAGTGTTACAGACGCTATCCTTTTTTACCTTGAAATTAAGGTCGTTCCATATCCGCTTTAAGTGCGTTTACTTCCTTTTTTGTTAAAAAACTGAATAGCGACTGGTAAAGTTTGTTGTACTGAAGTGATAACAATTTAAATCGGAATAAAGTTTATCGTGTGACGTTTTCCTTTGATTTGCTTTTCAGTGCTTCTACAATGTCGAAAAAGGTTAACGGGAAAAATGTCAAAGAAGTCGATGATATTCTCCGCATATTGTGTTCTGTCAGCTCTCCAGATATACCTTTGTTGCGGAAACTATCAGTATTGTTAAAGAAACACCCTCAAGCGTTCTCGAACCAAACCGGGAAAATCGAATCTTCGCTGCTCAGTTTAGTCGGTGTGAGAAAGTCGTCCTGTGATCTTCAGAAATCTATTCACACGCACTATTCTCATCACGATTCGTCACAAAACAAGGCCCTGCCTTTGGCCGCGGAATGCTTCTCTTTGCTTCCCTCATTAACAAATCCACCGTATCGGACTGACCGTTTTCTTGATTTTCAGCTTAAGGTACTCTATGCCCTTTCTGAATCTTATGCTACTGTGCTCCAACTTCTAAAATTTTCTCATATTAGCCTATCGTCTCTACGCGATCACTTATCTTCCAAGTGTAAACCTTTCATTTCCCTAGGCTTACTCAAGCAAGATGAGATGCCTTCCCCGGAATATCTTCAACTCGTCCTTGCACGTATAGATTTCTTCACAGCTGTTCTTCGTTATATTTTTGAACCGAAAATTGCTATTGAATGTGCTCTGTTCTTACCCATGATCACTGCTTTGTTCACTGCTATTCTGAGTGTCGAGCTCACCTCACACGGGAAGACGACTTCTGCCCTCCTATTACGCTCGAGCAGTTTGCTACACTGCTTGGCTTCTATCTGCCAATCCGTGGGGCTGAAGATGATCCCAGCCACCGTGTCATTGCTGACTCTGATGGTGTACCAGCTAGAGTGGACTGCAGCTTGGCGTGAACAATCAAAAGTGACCGGGGGTTTGACTAAACATCGTCTGGCCACATACCGATGTTTGCGGACTTTGGTTTCAGGGATGATAGAATTATCTTCAAGCCGATTAGTAGCTCTGCTTCCCAGAATTTTAGATCAACTTGTGCAGGATTTAGTTTACTGTTGTGGAGATGAGTCCGGTTTCATGTCTTCAGAATCTGATAGTTTTGAGTTCCGTGCCGCTTCTTGTGGACCTGATTCAAAACAAGCAACTGCGTATGGATCAGTGAATTGTCACATGTTGTTGGCAGTGTTGGACGTGATCACTCATGTATTTGAATCATCGGAACGATTCAACTCTCCCGGCGAATCCTTGCTACTGGGATTGAGCCGGCTTCAGTTATGCCTAATACATATAATGCGGCATTTGACATCAAGTTTCCTCAGCGGTCCTCATTATAAACAAATGGATTCAGCCCATAATGTTATCACTCACCCGTCAGTTTTAACTGCTCTGCTAAAGGCCAGTCGCCACTTATGCTCCGTTTCCAGTTCTCCCCATTTGCACACTGTTTTTGAAACATTTGCCAATACATTGAAAACCCATTATGATCCACAGGTACGTGTCACGGCATACGAACAGGGAATGCTGTTGAATACATCCAAGTGCTCCACACAGCTAGTTTCTATTTCAGAAGCACCGAAACCCGTCACGGAACCACTTATAGTCAAGGAAGTAATAATGCCATTGTATGACTCCAATAACATTCCAATGGAGATGCCTAAAGAATGCAATACTGAAAAAGAAATGTGCTCATCCGAAAAATCTCCAAAACGCCGTCGAATGGAATTTACGGAAGCTACTTCGGATACAGTACAAGAGGTTGCTGTTACAACTAGTGCCATTCAGTCTACCATTGATGCATGCCTGTCCTCCTTTGATCCAACATTTGTTTGAATGTTGCACATTACAGACGATGTCTTCAGAACACCGTATTATTTTTAAAAAATCTAACTCCGGTTTTGGCACGCTATATGTGGTTTTCATCGCGCAATCACGGCCCCTTCGTTTTGTTGAAATATAGTCTGGTGCCCAAAGACGAAAAAGCTATTAATAAAGACATCTGCAAAGTTATGGAACATTACGGATGGAAAAGAGTGAGTAATAGTAAAGATTACCAACCGATGTTCGGGCACGTGTGCATATGGTCTTGTCGATTGTTTGCAACTTTGAGCGTGTCACTCCATTAATTTTTGATTAACGTTTATTTTTTCAGGTGGTCCCCTTCTTCATGGTTTACATTGTTTCGCTTTTATACGAAAACCCTCCCCACTATGGTTTACTGATTTTAATCGATTATATCGATGTTTACTCTTAAGTGATACGCTCCCTGAACTTACGATCAAACATGTATATATATAGCCCATCTTTTGCTGGGCTACAGGTTCAGGTTTCTTCTTGTATGAAAGTACTAGGTGAGTTTCGAAACGGTGTTCCTATCGTCCCTCTTTGGTATACACGTAATTGAGTGGAAGTCGTATAGTCAAAACTTCGATAGCTTACCTATCACGGAATATGGTCAATAACAGGTCCAGTAGAGTTGGCGGATGAAGCCCACTGTTTCTGATGCGATTCAATGTCAGGAAGGTTCTGGTTTCTCTTAGTTGCATTGCGACGATTTTCGTTCCTTGAGGCGAGCCAAGATCGATTTGATGTTGCTGATTGCCGCTTGATGACACTATCTTTCGGTCGGCATGGGGGTGGGGTGGGGAATTGTGAATGTGACTGAAGTGTTGCACCCAGCTTTTGTTCATTTTCCTGTATGAATTGTCCTCTGTTGCCAGCCAGCAACAGAAGCAGGAGTTAATCCGTGTGAACTGAAAGAACAGTTGTGGTTTTCATCTTCACTGCAACTTCGAGTAAAAACCGTCTAGAGCCATGTTTCGTGGAGCATGTAGATTGGTGATGAGGTTACTCATCAGTGTTTGAGCACCGCTGTCTACGTCGCATTGCACGAGTCTGTTGGGGAAACCGGACGAGCAATGCTGGGGTTAGTCGTAGCGTTTTAAGTAATCGCGGACGTCAGCTAGAGTAAGTGGTCGAACTCCATGATGTTTACCCTATCTGCTGTTCATCACGCTAAATTGTGTAATACAAAAACGGCGAGCGATGTTTGCCGAGGCAAGTAACGAATAAGTAAAGGTAAAGAAAGCTCAAACCAGAAGATTGGGTCACAAAGATCCCGTTAGGCTCCCTGGGTGAGAGCCCCAAGATCATAATAACCGGTGGTTAGAGACGCAGAGTGATACGGTTAGATGTGGCAAGCACTGGTCCTCGTGCATCTACTCAATATTCTTGCGATTACAGTCTATACGAATTCTTTATCTTCCCGCTTGAATTTGCTCTTAACATCCCAATCTTCATTCTGCTCTTTGATCCAAATGTGCTGTCAAGAGACAGCAAGTAAAAACGGGTGCACGAAAGTGCGTGGTTATCGTCATCATTGTAATACAGTGAAGCGGACTTCACTGATCGCTGCCAAACTCATAATACATACAAGCAAGAACGTGTAAAGAGTACAAGGATTGAACCTATTTTTAGGAACGGGAAAAGAAAGCGAACCCCTTTGGTCGACACACAGTCCAATTGTGCATGCACACTATTTCAAGTATTCTGAACTGAAAAGAAGTGACAGCAAGATCACCACTGCTCTGGGTTGCTGATACTACCTCCAATGTCTCCAAGCAGGCGGTCTCGGAGTCTTCTGAACCCCAACCCGGAAGACAAGAGACACCTACTCTACTTAATCGCACTGTGTTTTTCTTCATGCCTCATCTCCACCTTATCAGCTGGCCTCCACGTGGCTTTCTCCCGTCTGCAACAGCCAATGCAAATAAGGCGTGCTGCGGTAGGCGACTGTCGGACATACGTAAAATGTGTACTGACTAACGGAACCTATTGATTTGAATTCTATGCGATATCGAGTTCTTGTTCGATACATTCCCAAATACCCGACGACTTATTTCTAGGTTACCAATCCGCTCACGACATCCCACCTGGATCAGAATACATTAGCATCGATTGTTGAAAACTGTTAAACGACGGATGTATATATACGCATACAAAAGGCTCGACTGGCATTTGCCAACTTGAGACATTTGTGGCGCCGTCGCGACATCCGGCTGTCTGTGAAGGGTCGAGTGTATGCTGCAGCAGTTCGGCGAGTCCTGCTCTACGGTGCAGAGACTTGGCCACTAAAGGAACAAGATAAAGGTAGATTGTCGGCGTTCGAATACCGCTGTCTACGTAGCATTGCACGTGTTTGGTGGGGTTACCGGACTAGCAGTGCTGAGGTTAGGCGAAGAGTTTTAGGCAGTCGCGGTCGTCCACTGGAACAAGTGATCGACCTCCATAGATTACGCCTGGTTGGGGACATGTGCTACGCATATCGCCAATAGGTTGCAACAGCGAACGATGTTTGCCAAGGCTGGTAGCGATTGGAAAAAAACGAAGGGCGGTTAAGCTCAGACCGTCTAGTCTTTAGAATATCATGTTATCATGTGATTTCTTGAAATGTTGAAAGTTCAGTATGAAAATGTTACCAGAACATTTTTCTAATCGTTCGTTTGGGTCGAATTCCCGAATAAGTATTACCAATATTGGTCTACGGAGTTCTGCAGTTGCCTGCCAGTCTTCTGCAGCCACAACAGTAGTTCGGTTCACTAAATTTTGGACCGTACTGCATACCTATTATTTTATAGCCTCAACAGCATGTAGGTTTGGGCCGAAGACTGCAAACATCTTCATGTTAAACAAAACGTCCCGAACCTGAAAACAAGTATTCCTGTTTGCCAAGAGTTCTTGTTTTCATATTGCGGTCGTAATTCTATGAAGCCATTAATGTACATGGTCCCATTATGAAACGTCTAGTGGGATGCGTCAGTGTAGAATACGAGGATGCATCAGCTATCACAGTCAGGCGTACCACAGATAAACAGTCCACGTTGATCCAATAATCGTAGGGTATGCGCATTGTGATGCACTACCAATTGTTGTTCAAGGGTTCTTATTTTTCAACAGGCTATGTGGATACAAAATTCAGTTAAAATAAACCCAACGCTCCTAACAGGATGGAATTTTCAACACGTCTCACTGAGTGCGCGGATATAAAACTGATAGCGAAGTAGTTCTCTGTTGTCGAACATCGATAACTCCAAACCATTGGAATACAGAATTTTCGAGTTTATCGATAATTAATAAAAAGCGCATTAGGTGCGGCATAGTAATATTTCTGACCTAGTGTTGATTATCTTTTTATTTACTGTACAATGTGAATCACAGTAAAAGCAGAGACCCCCGTAGACAAAGGACATGCTGTAGACAGGAGAGAACATTCACATAAGATCCAGTTTATTGATCCTGCGTTTGAAGAGCGTAAGGTTGTAAGTCTTGGATGAGGCATAAAGTGGGGATGTTCCGCAACTTAGCGTTTCGGGAGAAAAGAAGACTGATGCAGAGAAGTACTATATCTCTTGAAAGAAATTTGATGAGGATGACAAGATGCATGTGTACGGGATGAGCGTGCAAATATTTCAGAGACAAGCTCCAAAGAACAAAAACCAAAGGAGTAACGTTAGAGCATGGACAATGAAGCAACAGCCTGACTATAGGCGGGTGGCTGCAGGCTGTATATTCGGGAAGGAACATCGATCAGCTTGATGGCCTCTCGTTTGACACAATCAAGAAGGGGAATAGCAAAAGACAAAGCCCCACCCCAAATATGACGATAGTATTCAAGAGCAGAACAGGTTTGGATTTTGTACAATAGAAGATGAACTGGGGTGAAAAAGCGTTTGGCGTGGAATAAAAACCAACTTTTCACGCAGCACGGTAAGCGACTTGAAATATACAAGGGGACCAACATAAAGGAGAGTTTGTAGGCAACTAACAATAATGACAGAGTTTGTCCTACACAGTCGGGTGTAGCCAAAAAAAGTGTGGTGGACGAGAATGGTTAGTGCTCTAGAGAAACAAAAAGAAGGGAGTTTTTAGAAGCATTGAATGAAACGTGAGTGATATAATCATCGTACAGCAAAATACAGTGAAACGAACTTCACTGATCGCTGCCAAGCTCACAATGTACAGAAATCAAGTGATAGAGCACAAGATGGAGAGGGATTGTATCTATTTTGAGGGAGGGAGAAGAATATGAGCCACTATGGTCAAACACGGAGTACGCAATCGAACTCTGCATACATACCGTTTCAGGCATTCTGACCTGTTAAGAAATGACAACAAGAACGCCACCGCTGCCGGTTCACTGCGATGTCCTTCGATGTCTCAACCAACCAGTTGTGGAGTCTTTCGGACCCCAACTTGGAGGGCGAGAGACACCTACTCTACCTAATGGCTCTGTGCATTTCTCCATGCTTCGTCTCCACGTCATCCGTTGACCACCACGTGGTTTCCTCCAACCTATAACCGCAACTGCAAATAGGCACGGTGTGACAGACGATGGTGGGACATGCGCAATACGTGTCCCAACCAGCGAAGCCAACTAATGGGACAACGAATTCTCCATCGAATCATAACCAAACTTGTCTCAGAGTTCCTTACAAACTCGTTCCATCCAACCCGAGCCAAACTACGTAAACATCTGCAGTGGAATACTTTTAGGCGGAGCGCAACCATAAAGCAGAACTGATCGCACACTGGCAAAGTATACGCGACCTTTCAGTTTCAACGAAACATCGCGTCTGCACCAAAGGTGTTTCAGTCCTGCGTAAGCTGCTCGAGCCCTGTAAATGCGGGCGGTTACTTCATGGACTATTCTTCCGTCATTTGAAACGCAGCTACCTAAGTAGGTGAAACATTCCACTACAGCTAATTCTTGACCATCAAGCATCAGCGCTGGAGTAGACGACACCCAGTTTTGTAGCATCACTTTGCACTTTGAA